TTTTTTCCCTACTCTTGCCGAAGGCAAAAAGATCGTAGGGAATAAGTAATCGGGTTTGGATATATGAGCTGGCCCGACGGTCCTACGGTGTCGACAAAAGTCTGCTCCTTCGCAATATAGACCACTCCCCTATAATTATGTGTATAAAAGGAGTCTATTTTGCGCGCGCGACGCTGGTTATGAGTTAATTAATTACAGGCATAGCAACCAGTTTTTGGTGCTTGACGACTGTTACAAACGGATCAATCATCAATATAGGTGTTATTTGTGTGAAACAAGCTTAACAAATTACCGAGTGATAAAATTCAGCAAGTCAAAACAAATAAAATTATGATGTCAGCTGATAAACTCGTGGCTGTGGGCTGATTATTTAACAGTTAATCGACACTGAATGGTAGAAAGCATTGGAATACATAGTTGAGAACAAATGTTACTTCACAGTTACATTCAAGAAGCAACTATAATATCAAGATTGTGGTATGCTTTTAAAGAATCCTATATCAAATAAAAGGCTCGAAAGTCGATGGTGCTGTGATGTGTCGAGCTTAAGAATCAAAATGTATTAGTTTATGTTAGATACAAATAATAACTAAGACGAGACAGCATATTTTATTACAGTCAATAAGTTGGCATACGATGCAGTAATATGACGTGACATGATACGCATATCGTATTAACACGAAACAAAACCGCGCAAAGTATGAAATGATCTACAACCAAACCACATACAGATCGACGGCGACACCTCAGATGCGCGCAGGATTTTTCAAGTTCTGCACGCCTAGTATAATATAAACGTTTATTACATTGTACATGCGCCAAACACCACTCTGGGATACAATAAAGTAGAACAATTTAATTGTATGCAGTAGGGAAATTTGATCGTGCGTGGTATTACCGCGGCGAAATTCTTGTTAAGAAAGTGAAGCCGCTGGATTTAGATAGAGAAGAGGCCAGACTGATTGATAAATTTAGGACTTAGATTTGGGGCTTAAATAGGATAGTAGTTGTTAGATGATTTCATATTTATATATTTTCATCTTCATGTTTCTATGTGTTGTCACTGCATTTTAATATTGAGTTCTGATTATTTGTACATGATTTTCCCCATTCGAATTTTGATTCCCTGGTTGGCGAGTTTTCAGACATTGGTCTGTTTTAGTTCATAAAAGTTTTCTGACTTACGTATTCAGGTCTCATGATGTAGTTTTTCTATGAAGATTTCAACCGGAACCTTGTGTGTTTACTAATACTGTGTGTCCAATCAAATAAAAATCACTATGGATTATAGTTATACTTGCAACTCGGATATCATGGACGTAACATGAGAAAGTTCTTTTTTGAAAGTGATGAGGCTAATTCGTTAGCCTCAATTGTCCCTCGCAGTTCAATCACTCCTACTGAGTCTTGTGAGTGAGCTAGGAGGTCGCCGGACATCTCATTTTAAAGCCGTATCGATTTTCTATACGCATACCAAAAATCAAATGCCTAACTAAAACAGAAATGAAATTACAGAAGTTTTAAATTTTTTGTCAAAACGAACTTTTAGGGGTGTTTCTATTACGACCAGGGTCCAATACGGATGATGATTAATCACTCTACACTACTAACTACACATTCTGACGGACAATCCGGAAAACCTCTCGACTCTGAACACAACTGTAACCCAGTCATGTGTTGTTGCAACAACAACATCGTGCTACACAAAATGGTGACCATCAATAAATTTTACTCTTAGATCTGCTAGTGTAATCGCATTAACCGGAGTTAATAGCGTTACCTGTTACCATCGCGATACGGGTATTAATTTACCTCCCAGCGGTGAGACACCGCTTCCCTCCATCGCCATGTTTGAAGCTCTCCCATCATCTGATCTACTTCAGAGGGAAGTAATTTATTTTATATTTTAAAATTGTTATTATTCCAGTATAACAAACAAATTTTCTAATCGTGTTAAATCGTGTAAATCGTTATCCGAAGCCATGACAGTCATACCTAGCTTTAAAATAATATTACCAGGTTCATGCCTGCCACTTCAAAAATAAAATGAGACCAGTAATTTCGTTATTGTTGATTTAAATTACGTTTGACTGGTAAATTATAATCAAATTTTATTAGTATTAATTGAATCTCCTATTTTATGGGAGACTAAAAAGGGCATTGCTTTTAAAAGCAAATAATTTTAAAATAAATTCATCCACTTGGCCAACACGCATCGCTGATTATTTCACGTCTGATAATGATAATGATATTTTAAAATATTTGAACAAATATTAACCATCGACGAGTCCAGTTTGGCGCGCGTCTTGGTACATAGGTTGAAGGTTATTAACCTACAAGTTTAACACAAACTTTTTTCCAGTTTGCATAATATAATTTCAGTTTCCCCATTCCCAGTAAGGTCTTCATTTGCAGAAACACTTTTATTTTAGGGGTCGTTCACATATTACGTAATCAGCCGAGGGGGGAGGGGGGTTTCCAAATGCTTACGGTTGATTACGGGGGGGGGGGGGTTTCGGCCGTTGATTACGTAATCAAAATTTTCTTTTTTACCCTCTAGAATAATAACAATTTGACAATATTTTAATTCAAATTCCACTCAATTTCACTCTGATAGTGATAAAATTTAGAAATTTATCGAATATCCGGCTATAATAGTAAGTAGTTTAGAAGGTGCTTGGCCGGATATCATAACAATGATTTCGGCTCGTCATGATAGCATGATCAGGGTAGCATGAAACGTAGAGAAAAGTGATTTCTAGGAAAAAAGTAAAGGGGGGGTCGGGGGTGGTCAGGCCATGATTACGTAATATTGCTGTCAGGAGGGGGGGGGGTTGGGTCTTGATTACGGTTGATTTTGTCATACGTTGTATGACCCGCCGCGCACGAAGTGCGCGGCTCTCCCTGTATCGTCACATAGTGAAACGACCGTGGGGGTCGCAACGTGATACAAGGTTGATTACGGAAGGGGGAGGGGGTAAAAATTGCTAAAATATTGATTACGTAATATGTGAACGACCCCATATCAAAGGCGCAGGTTATATCTCCACCGAAGGCACACTCCCCTAATTGCGCGCATTGCTGTAACTTCTTCATTCTTTCAAACTTCACAATCAGATAAAACTGATGCAGTCTATAAGTATAACTATAAGTGTGAGACCCTGGCAAGCAAAAGTTGTAATTCTGAAGCTGTATATTATATATTTATATTAGTCATGATCGTTCTACATAAGAGCAATCAGGAAGTAATTAGGAAGATGAATAAAATCAAATGGCCACCAAATTTCCAATATATTCGGAACATTGCAATGCTTGAGTGTAGCAGTAGGGACTTTGAAAAATATAGTTTGATTTATGAATAATTGAGTTTAACTCGGATTTGCGTTATCACTAATCTTTAAGTTGTGCTATCATATCAAACATCAAATGGCCTAAAGGTACGATAAGCAACAAAGCATTGTATGAAAGACACATTCTCAGGAGTATGGAAAGCACCCCAGCCCAAACGGCTCTCTCTCTTTTGCTATTGAATCAGATAATTTATTTAAGTGATCTAAGTAGTAGAAATTTGCACATCGATAACTTGTATGAATTAAACGAAATCAAAGATATAGCTGCATACAACAGATGTTGGGAAAATCTGTTTCACGGGTACAATTTACCGCATTAAGGTATTTTTATGAATCATTTTTGTCGGTAAGATCCTGTTTTATAATAATAATAATAATAATATCATGTTATAATAACCTGATATGTGAATCGTTAAATATTATAATGTTTCTAAATTATATTAAATAGTGTTCATAGTGCAATGAGACGTGTGGAGTATTATACTACGGATGATAATTGATAACGCTCCTCTCAATTCTAACCACCCACCACAGAATGTATCTGGGCTGACTCATAACTCCCCCCAGCAGAAAGTGATCACCTTACAAGGACAGGATGTGTGCCTCAGCCCCGGTATCTGCAACCGAATGGAGTGTGTGACAAGATCAGCTACAATATAGGGCGTGTCTATCCTTTAATGGATGATAATGTCAATTATACAAGGAAGAGATATTGCACTTGATTTGATCGACTTGCAGCTATACAACCTGCGCGCGCGCAATACGGCGCGTTTGCAGTTGCGCCCCTAGGGTCGTCCCCACATGACAACTAACAATAAACGAGCAATAGCTAACGTGAATGTACACAAACGAGGGGTCGGTTGTGTTACTTCCCAGATCAGGCTGAAGGCGTGCTCCTGTCTGGCATTCTATTAATATAGTACAAACACGCTTTATTTCACATTTTAAAATCGGTTTCACTGTATACAATAACATGTGAAGTGTGTCTTCATACTTCAATTCAACCCCAAAACATTTTGACTACCCGTATAAAATCATAAACAAAACAATATTTCGGAAAGTTTTGCATTAGTTCAATGATAAAAACTAATCAAGTATAACAATCACTAGGATGTAATAACTTAATAATCCAATTTGTTCTCATTCTCATGCTTTTGTGATTTAAAGACTCTTTGGTTATTTCAAAAAAATAAGTTGGCACCACTTGAGATGCGATTTAATACAATACATTACAAGGAATAAGATGACTGGGTCAATGGTCGCTGTAACCATGGTAACTGGGCTGGTGAAGGGGGGGGGGGGGGGCTGTAACCATGGTAACTGGGCTGGTGAGGGGGCTGTAACCATGGTAAGTGGGCTGGTGAGGGGGGGCTGTAACCATGGTGACTGGGCTGGTGAGGGGGGGCTGTAACCATGGTAACTGGGCTGGTGAGGGGGGGGGGGGGGCTGTAACCATGGTAACTGGGCTGGTGAGGGGGGGCTGTAACCATGGTGACTGGGCTGGTGAGGGGGGGGGGCTGGACATAATAAGGTCACTGTTGAGAATCTATATCTTCAATTTTCAAATATTTGTCAAACAAGATCAGGTTTTTATCAATTTCTGAATTTCGTTCCGCCTCAATGGACTCTAAAACATCTCATAATCCCTCATTATATTTTAATAGCAGCTGCTGCACTCTCTTCCTTGTCCCCTTTATCAACTCGTTTGTAGAGAGGTTGTGACTGCTTCTCCACCACTTCCCTCGTTATCGTGACTTGAGTTATGTCTGATCCTGGAACTTCGTACATTATCTCCATTAGTACATTCTCTAATATACTCCTCAGACCACGTGCACCTGATAACGAACAAGTTAACATAGCATTTACATAGTTAACATAGTTAACACAGCATTTACATAGTTAACATAGTTAACACAGCATTTACATAGTTAACATAGTTAACACAGCATTTACATAGTTAAAATAGTTAACACAGTATTTACATAGTTAACACAGCATTTACATAGTTAACATGGTTAACACAGCATTTAAATAGTTAACACAGCATTTACATAGTTAACACAGCATTTACATAGTTAACATAGTTAACACAGCATTTACATAGTTAACATAGTTAACACAGCATTTACATAGTTAACATAGTTAACACAGCATTTACATAGTTAACATAGTTAACACAGCATTTACATAGTTAAAATAGTTAACACAGTATTTACATAGTTAACATAGTTAACACAGCATTTACATAGTTAACATGGTTAACACAGCATTTAAATAGTTAACACAGCATTTACATAGTTAACACAGCATTTACATAGTTAACATAGTTAACACAGCATTTACATAGTTAACATAGTTAACACAGCATTTACATAGTTAACATAGTTAACACAGCATTTACATAGTTAACATAGTTAACACAGCATTTACATAGTTAAAATAGTTAACACAGTATTTACATAGTTAACATAGTTAACACAGCATTTACATAGTTAACATGGTTAACACAGCATTTACATAGTTAACACAGCATTTACATAGTTAACACAGCATTTACATAGTTAACATAGTTAACACAGCATTAACATAGTTAACATCTGGGTCGACAATTTGATTATTCTCACGGCCTTTATTGAATGTGTAATATAAGCATAAGTTATATAATACAGGTATAAGTTTATTAAAACCCTCAACAATAATGAAATGATCAGTAACAACATTAAAACATTAAGAAGATCTCGTTTTCTCAGCTCAGAACCTAATAATATCAGGACTATATATAAACGCGACAAAGTTAGTTCAACATCACAAAATGAAGCTATACGCCATTCTTCTTTTGTTGCAATGCAGCGGCTTAGCTTTATAGCACCATTCAGAAGATCACTAAACTCCTCGCTTGGTATTTGAGACTTACTAAAACAGGAAGACCAAAACCAACAGATCGAATAAGAGGGCTCCCACAAAAACTTAGGTATGCAAGTGAAATGTACCCGCACGGTCTGACTCAGTTCTATCAGAAATACACTGAAGCGTACGGTATACCAGTTGTGTCTTCCAGCAGAGTTCCGGACGATGCCTTGAAGAGAGCTTGCTACGTATTGAGGTTCCTGTTGGCAGATCATTCAGGAGTCAGGAACAATTACTACCAAAGATACGGGAGAGTGGGCATCATGGCAACCACTGAGTACACCACAAACATTCCTGAACATAGCTGGTTGGACCTGTATTCTGGAATGCCAGGGCTAGAGGACTCGGAGCTACAGAAGATTGGCCTATCTCAACAGGTTATAAATAAGGAGCTGACCGCCCCTCCATAAATGTACGATTACTCGTTACACTATAGTACTATACAGTAACATACTGTATTTTAGTATTTCTCGTCAAATTGGGTTACTTCTATAACAGGCAGAGATAGTACTACAGGAGCTACAGAAGCGTGGCCTATCTCGGTGCCGAGGAGAATATCCTGTGCTACGCGCAGGACCAGTACGCGACAGAGAATATCTTCCTCCACGAGTTTGCGCACGGTGTTCACCTGCTGGGAGCCAAGTACGCGATATCAGGGTGCCTCAGATACTGGTACGAGGAGGAGACAGGGCACACTGTGAGGAGGAGACAGGGCACAATGTGAGGAGGAGACAGGGCACACTGTGAGGAGGAGACAGGGCACACTGTGAGGAGGAGACAGGGCACACTGTGAGGAGGAGACAGGGCACACTGTGAGGAGGAGACAGGGCACACTGTGAGGAGGAGACAGGGCACACTGTGAGGAGGAGACAGGGCACACTGTGAGGAGGAGACAGGGCACACTGTGAGGAGGAGACAGGGCACACTGTGAGGAGGAGACAGGGCACACTGTGAGGAGGAGACAGGGCACACTGTGAGGAGGAGACAGGGCACACTGTGAGGAGGAGACAGGGCACACTGTGAGGAGGAGACAGGGCACACTGTGAGGAGGAGACAGGGCACACTGTGAGGAGGAGACAGGGCACACTGTGAGGAGGAGACAAGGCACACTGTGAGGAGGAGACAGGGCACACTGTGAGGAGGAGACAGGGCACACTGTGAGGAGGAGACAGGGCACACTGTGAGGAGGAGACAGGGCACACTGTGAGGAGGAGACAGGGCACACTGTGAGGAGGAGACAGGGCACAATGTGAGGAGGAGACAGGGCACACTGTGAGGAGGAGACAGGGCACACTGTGAGGAGGAGACAGGGCACACTGTACTTATGCAATGTCAACTGCTGTACTTTGCAGAAGGGGTACAGATCAAACCCTCCAAATAGTATTCACAACCACATTAACACTAGGGATAAGCTCCTCAAGTATTTGCTCTTATCAAAGAAGTCTTCCCATGTCAAAACATCATCCTCGACCACTGTAAGGTATCTAGAGCCGCTGTAAGGTATCTAGAGCCGCTGTAAGGTATCTAGAGCCACTGTAAGGTATCTAGAGCCACTGTAAGGTATCTAGAGCCACTGTAAGGTATCTAGAGCCACTGTAAGGTATCTAGAGCCGCTGTAAGGTATCTAGAGCCACTGTAAGGTATCTAGAGCCACTGTAAGGTATCTAGAGCCACTGTAAGGTATGTAGAGCCGCTGTAAGGTATCTAGAGCCGCTGTAAGGTATCTAGAGCCACTGTAAGGTATCTAGAGCCACTGTAAGGTATGTAGAGCCGCTGTAAGGTATCTAGAGCCGCTGTAAGGTATCTAGAGCCACTGTAAGGTATCTAGAGCCACTGTAAGGTATGTAGAGCCGCTGTAAGGTATCTAGAGCCGCTGTAAGGTATCTAGAGCCACTGTAAGGTATGTAGAGCCGCTGTAAGGTATCTAGAGCCACTGTAAGGTATCTAGAGCCACTGTAAGGTATCTAGAGCCGCTGTAAGGTATGTAGAGCCGCTGAGTTTACTCAGGAGATGAAGATGGACTGTGATAAAGATGAGGAACCAACAACTGAGTCCCCTACTCCATGTCAAGACCTCAACACTAACTGTTCCTACTGGACCAGACAAGGCCACTGTAACAATCACAACAACAAATATATGGAAGAGAATTGTAGGTCTTGTTCAGATGAGGACCAATACAGACTGGGCTAACGCTGGATACTGTGCAGTTTACAGAGCGTTATTGGACTCTGCAGACTGGGATAACGCTGGATACTGCAGTTTACAGAGCGTTATTGGACTCTGCAGACTGGGCTAACGCTGGATACTGCAGTTTACAGAGCGTTATTGGACTCTGCAGACTGGGCTAACGCTGGATACTGCAGTTTACAGAGCGTTATTGGACTCTGCAGACTGGGCTAACGCTGGATACTGCAGTTTACAGAGCGTTATTGGACTCTGCAGACTGGGCTAACGCTGGATACTGCAGTTTACAGAGCGTTATTGGACTCTGCAGACTGGGCTAACGCTGGATACTGCAGTTTACAGAGCGTTATTGGACTCTGCAGACTGGGCTAACGCTGGATACTGCAGTTTACAGAGCGTTATTGGACTCTGCAGACTGGGCTAACGCTGGATACTGCAGTTTACAGAGCGTTATTCTGCAGATTGTCGTGTAATTCTGCTGATAGGAGCTTACTTTTAATTCACATATTATAATGTAACTTTAGATTTTATTTAACTCGCGTTTCCTTCACAGATAACTTCCAAAAAAACAAACATGATATTGACAAATCAAATAAAAAGAAAACTATTTTAAAGATTTACCAGTTCGTTTCTTGATGGCCAGTTCAGCAATGGCGTCCAGAGCATCATCAGTGAAAACGAGTGCGCTGTCATCCAAAGTGAACATGTACTTGTATTGAGATATTATTGAGTTCTTGGGCTGGGTTAGGATCGTTACCAGAGCCTCGCGATCTGAGGGAATTACACTTTAAACTCGGGGGAGAGGGCCCTTAACTAGGGGGAAGGGGGCCCTCAACAAGGGAGGAGGAGCTCTCGGCTAGGGGGGAGGGGGTACAACCAGTGAAGGGAGGAGGGGCCCTCAACTAGAAACCTTTGCTTCTGGGCACAACTAGGGGGAAGGGGGCCTCGACTAGGGGCCGGGGGGAGGGCCCCTCAACTAGGGTGGAGGGCCCCTCAACAAGAGAGGGGGGCACTCAACAAGGGAGGAGGGGTCCTCAACTAGGGAGGGGCCCTAAATAAACAGCGAACTGTACTCCATCATTTGATTCAAATAGTTAGATTACCTAATGACATGAGAGATACACAGAGGGGCATTCTGCCCACAAACTCAGGTATAATCCCGTAGTTCACCAGATCTTCTGCGTCAATCTCCTGTACACCAATTCCATTATAGTCAACAGGAAGGGCTTTTTAATGGTACATAATATAAAATTCACTTCAATGATTAATATTAATATCATTATTATTTTATTGAGCTCACCATACAAAAAGTGTAATTTAATCTTATAATTTGAATGGTCAGAACTATGGTGTCACCTTTAAAAAGTCATCGTTAATTTTAAGTTGTTGCTCGAAGTTTTCTTTGTTTTTGGTCTGATCAAGAATAGCTGCATCTTTAGAAATAGGGCTACCAAACCCGACCGTTTTCTTAACTTTTCTGTTTCTGCAAAAGAGAGATATTTTTTACAAAAACCAGTATTCATGCTCATAATATCTTTTTATTTATCCGCTCATGAGTCATTTTTAGATATATTTAGGTGGCTTAGCCCTCTGAAGTGAGAACGTTTAATCCCTCGGCTTGGATTGAGACATACGGTCTAATGAGATTATTTCAAACATACCGGACAATCTTCCTAAACATACAGGACAATCTTCCCAAACATGACATACCTGACAATCTCCCCAAACATACCGGACAATCTCCCCAAACATACCGGACAATCTTCCCAAACATACCGGACAATCTCCCCAAACATACCGGAAAATCTTCCCAAACATACCGGACAATCTCCCCAAACATACCGGACAATCTTCGCAAACATACCGGACAATCTCCCCAAACATACCGGACAATCTTCCCAAACATACCGGACAATCTCCCCAAACATACCGGACAATCTTCCCAAACATACCGGACAATCTTCCCAAACATACCGGACAATCTCCCCAAACATACCGGACAATCTTCCCAAACATACCGGACAATCTCCCCAAACATACCGGACAATCTTCCCAAACATACAGGACAATCTTCCCAAACATACCGGACAATCTTCCCAAACATACCGGACAATTTTCCCAAACATACCGGACAATCTTCCCGAACATACCGGAAAATCTTCCCAAGCATACCGGACAATTTCCCAAACATACCTGACAATCTTCTCGATCCCCGCAAAAGCTCCGGAAGCAATGAAAAGAATATTGGTCGTATCAATCTGAATGGGCTCCGATCTGAGTTTTCGAGAGGGAATAAGTCGTTCAGGAATAGTAACTAAAGTTCCTTCTAGAAGTTTGAGGAGAGCCTGCTGTACTCCCTCACCTGATACGTCCCGCACATGTACATCTTTAGACCGCATCGAGATCTTATCAACCTGATATAATACAATAATAAAGAGCTTGTTCAGAGAGGGGGGGTCATTGGAGATAATATAAACATTACAGAAAATATATAAAAATTACAGAAAACATATGAACATTACAGATAATATAAACATTGCAGATAATATAAACATTACAGAAAATATATGAACATAACAGATAATATATGAACATAACAGATAATATTAACATTGCAGAAAATATATGAACATAACAGATAATATATGAACATAACAGATAATATAAACATTGCAGATAATATAAACATTACAGATAATATAAACATTACAGATAATATAAACATTACAGAAAATATATGAAAATTACAGATAATATAAACATTACAGATAATATAAACATCACAGAAACATATGAACATTACAGATAATATAAACATTGCAGATAATATAAACATTACAAAAAATATATGAACATAACAGATAATATAAACATTGCAGAAAATATATGAACATTACAGATAATATAAACATTGCAGAAATTATTAACATTACAGATAGTATAAGAATTAAACATAATAAAAGTAATGTTTAAACATACAGATGATATAAATAGCTGACGACCCCCAAAGCAAGTGTTTATTTTACCTCATCGAGAAAGACGATGCCCCGCTGACACTTGTCCACATTAAAGTCGGCAGCAATAAGAAGTTTAGCGATAATAGACTCCACATCCTCCCCCACATACCCAGCTTGAGTTAGAGAAGTGCAGTCACAAATAGTCATAGGAACTTTTAGACAATGGGCCAGTGACTGAGCTAACAAGGTCTTACCCGTCCCTGTCGCAATGTTAACTGTGAGTTATCACCGGTAATTAACGGTAATTGCGTATATAATATAACGGGATTCTCTCTGTTTTGAAATGAAATAAAGATTATTTATAATGTTTCCTGTTTCAACACAAGTATTCTTTAAAACCTGTAGGACCGAGAAGCAGGACGTTAGTTTTATCCATCTTGGAGATACCCGACACTCTAGATGATTTCTTCTCAGATAAGTTTATCTGTATCCTCTTGTAATGATTGTAGATACCAACTGATAGCACTTTCTTCGGGTGGCTCTGTCCTATAACATACTCGTTCAGATACGAGAATATCTCTTTAGGGGTAGGAAGTCTGTCTTCTTTGGTGTCGTACGCTGGGTCAAGGTGGCTGAAATGTATCAAGTTATAATACTTCTTCTTCATTGCAGAGAAAGCAAATGATGCACTTCCATTTTTATTAGTATATTTAATTAATATAATTTATTACTGGTACAACTGGTATGAATCAGTAATTTCAAGGATATCTGACCTTGATTCGACTCTCATGTCATTGTTGAAAATGTCACAAACGTAGAAATATTCACATTGCTGACATTTCACAAATCGTGGGGTGGTGGAAACTCCCTTCAGATTGTTTAGTGGGCCTCCGCACTTGGGGCAGCGGGAGATAGGGTCATCTGGATCAGAAGTACTGGACAACTGAGGGTGCAGGAGGTTAATATCATCACAAAATATGTAGAGTTATTTAATGTGCCACCCTCTAGCTTTTAGACAGTAAAACTATGTAATGCTATGAATATGTCCATTTAATTTCTTGTCCCGGCATTTAGACTTATAGCCGACAATAGATAATAAGTGATTTACACTAACCTGGCGAGAAAGGTGTTTAGGAGTAGTAGTAGAAAGGTGAGGAGGTTGCAGGCAGGAGTAATGTTGCTTACAACATTGCACTTTAAACGTGCCCAGACATCTTAACACTCTTACTGATTGTATGGATACTTGACTCAACATTACTCACTACCATCCCTGTTAGATCATGTTCAGTGAGAGCCTAACATTTTTATTATTTTCAATCTCACTTGTTGATTTCTAAGATAAATTATGCACATCATTTTACAATATAACCAAAATTCTGAAGCCTGTTCCCTGATCGTTTCCGTGCATCTAGACTACCAAATGATAAATTATTACAACACAAACTTTATGTAGTACATTTATTTCGCAGCAGAAATATGAAGAACACATCTAAGCTGCATCCTAAGATATACCCAATTATATCGAATGCCATGCATCAAAAAATGAAAGAATAACTTCGTAAGGTGTTCGATGTCGACCCATTACAAGTGATAACAAGAAACACTTGCAAAGAACAGGAGACATCGGTTATGATCTGCGGCAAACAGTGCTCCAAGAAAATTACTTCGAGGAAATACTGACAGCCCCACAGCAGCTCTGCCGAAACGTGTTTTGATTGATTAGCGAAAACACGTAAAACACAAGATCTTCAAGTTATGGGTTGGGTTAGGGTAAAACAATGATAACATGTCAAGGATGACGATAACATTGCGGCAGAACTGCTTATTTCTTATATTTGTGTCAGAGAACTTTATATGTACTGAAACTGAGCGCTCGATCTTACCATACAACACAAGGTTTTATAGTATTTCATATTATATTATTGATTATGGCGCGCACTATATCGTGACGGATAATATATAATACTCGTCAAAATTTCTTCGAAATATAGCGCGCGCTGCTTTCTTCTCGAAAAATAGGCACGAAGCTTCCAAATAGCTTCGGGCCGGGTCAATCTATTAACAATGAAAAAAAACTATATCTCAATATAATAGACAGCACATCAAATTTGATATTTATAAAATAGTTCAACATTGAACATTTCGCTTGATTCTGCACTAAATTGACTTGAAGGTAATTTGACTTTTTACAAAGAACTATGCGTTTTTGAGTTTGTTATTCTCTTTCAAAAATATTTCACTGTTCCAAGTACGTTGTCATTTGTTGTCATACGTTGTATGACCCGCCGCGCACGAAGTGCGCGGCTCCCCCTGTAGCGTCGAAGACGCTATAGTGAAGCGACCGTGGGGGTCACCACGTGATACAAGTCATTTGTATGTTGATGTATGTATGTTGATGTATGTATAAGACATAAGTGCACAAATTAATTTTGATTATATGCTGCAAAAGATCTCAAGTCATGAAGTTTAAAAGTAAGTATATATTACTGCGATGCACTCGTTTACATAAAGACCTCAGGCTATCATGTTCATAAACATGATAATTGAATAGAGATTCGGCGGAATGACTTGATTCACGATGTCAATCCTTCGCAGCTCGGTGAGGCACAGTGGTGCATCTCGCCGATCTACCGAAGGATTGATGCATAACAACAAGACACGCGCTAAAGACGCGCAGTTTACTGAGTGATGCCCACGATTTCTTTAAACACATTGATGTCATTATAATTTAGCGTTGCGAGAAGAATTATTTGATGCGCGGCGCGACCCAGTAGTGCATCGCGCTACAACGGAATGACAGGCTGAGCGCGGCCCAGTAATGCACTCGTGCGCGGCGGGTCATATTGCATATGCAACTTAACGGGTGATACTCGTAAAACATTTGTTCCATATATTGGAACAGGACCGTCGACGAGTCCAACTCGGCGCGCGTCCTGGTAGGTTGTAAACCTACAAATATGCAACGTATGATGTATGACAAGATATTTCAATCGAACTTAATAATAACAGATACAAATACTAGACACAAATACAAATACTAGACACTAAACTTTTTAACATGTATTATATTATATATTATGTATCAAAACTTTTACATACTAATAAGCAATATTCAATGGTAATAGTATGTACAAGCTGATCTGTTGTGAAAATCCTGAAACAATTTATGCGTTTGTGCTCAGCTGATATCAGGCTAAGGGTGGTGCTTTAAAAGCGGTATTTCGGTTGTAGGTTTACAACCTACCAGGACGCGCGCCGAGTTGGACTTGTCGATGGTACCAGGACGCGCGCCGAGTTGGTCTTGTCGATGGTCCTTGTCATGTCATACGTTGTATGACCCGCCGCGCACGAGTGCGCGGCTCCCCTTGTATCGTCGAAACTCTACTATAGTGAAGCAACAGTGGGGGTCACCACGTGATACAAGATGGTCCTGGATAATTGGAACAAATATTTTAAGAGTATCACCCGTTAAGCTAAATCACTCTAAAAAACTGTTTCAATCACTGATCACTTAACGGGTGATACTCGTAAAATATCTGTTCCATATATTGGACCGTCGACGAGTCCAACTCGGCGCGCGTCCTGGTAGGTTGTAAACCTACAAGGGTATTCCTGATAGTCTTACTCAGTAACTTATTCATTAATAGTATATTATATATTAGTAAGTAATATATGTAATAGAAATTGACTCAAATTCTTGCTTTCTTTGCAGTACATTGCAAATCGTATCGAAATCTGTATTATCACTAGTATGTAGTATAGCTATCGACATCTGTAAGTTCTAACCATCGGACAGAAGAGATCCAAATGTCGAAGAGCAGCAAATCCTCCTCTTCAGTTGCCCTACACTTTGGAATCGGCGAGACAACTGTTCGAAACATCAAGAAGAAATTAGCGGAACTGGACAGATAGGAGTGGTTCCCCTGCTCGTCTGAACGGGAATCGTTGAAACGTCCTTCTTGCTTATACAGACAACTAAACGTCGAAATTAAACTTCTCAGAAAAAGAAATAAAGATGTTCGAAAAAAGTAGTGAATACTCTCAACTCTGCCACTTGATGTATTTCTCGTGTTTGCTGTATTTAGTTTTATTATACATATTCTCTTTCTAGAGTATTCCAAGTGAATATTTGGGGTGTGCACTGTGCTTTCTGTGGAGATTAAAACTGCGCCGTCGAACAATTATAGTCTTGAACATTTTAAGATCCAGCCTGCACGAAATCGTATCGGCTGATGAAGATCTGGAATGTGGCTCACCAGACCACTACACCGGCTGCACTACACCACACGAATACAAATAGAAACACTGATTTCAAAGAATTCAATTTTAAATTTATGTACAGAGCTATCAAGTCAGGGAATACTCAATTTCGTGACATATTTCATATTTGCCGGCACTTTTCGTCAAATTATTCCAAATAATACACCTAACCACTGCATTTCTGCACATCTAAAAATTCAAAAAACCATCTCATAATCTGAAGATAAGGTAAATCCTACCAATTTATTGTAAACAAAGTTTCTGGATCCAAATTACACAGCTGCTGCTAGAGACACCTCTCCATCTGGTGATATAACACACTGGCACACCTTACATACAAATTACAGGGTGTTCCAAAACTAAATAACATTTAAACTTAAAGCACTGCCATTCTCTGTGACTCAACTGAATAAACAAGATGTAATAGTTAAATGGCAGAGCAGCAAGTTGGAATGTGATTAAAATCATTCGAGTCGGATAAGGATCATATCTAGATATGATCATCTAGACAAAATCAGTGCGACTCAAGCTCTCGATATAATGCCACACAACACAATCTGCAGTCCTGGAGTTCTGTCTAGCACTAGCATAAAAACTTGACTTATAAAAACATCAGTCACCTGCTAAAAGTATACTCACTTAAAAAATTAAATTAAAAATGAGCTTCAGGGAAGAAGGGAGACACCTCATACTGGGAAGGTTTTGGGAGCCGTAAGAAAATTTCCCTTCGAGGACAGGAATTTTTTCAAATAAATTTCTATTAAAGAAAACAATCAAATAAAAATGGCTACTGGACACGTAAAAACATTTCGCTCGCAGAAATACAAAATAAAAACAACAAAACCTGTTCCTGTTAGCCGTTTAGAAGGAACTGAATTCTTCGAATGTTTGAATCAATTTTCATTCTCAATCAAAATAAAGGCACCCCTGAATCTCTCAACGATCCCAAATAATACGCTAGATTTTAAGCCCAACTGTACAGTACAAAAGGAGCTTCATGATACGTAGGACTACATCAACATGTCCAAAGTTTGGAATCCCACAGTGATTTTTAAATTCAGGGGTACCTATGTGCTCCGGACTCAAAATTCTGTGAAAAAATAAACCTAACATGAGCACCAATATTTTAAAAACAAGAAAAAGATTTTCACAAATCATTTTCAAATAACCATTTGTTAAATGGTGTGTCGGCAAATAACCATTTTTACACGTTAAATGGTGTGTCGGCAATCAACCGTATCATCTGATCAGGCAGTTTTTTCAAATCTTTAGTTCCAGTACAAAAATTAAGCAACAAAATGTCTTGTGACAGAAGATATATGAGCTATGCTGACTAATCAAGAATAGAAAAGGAGATTTATATGCCCAAGTCGAAACCCAATATTTAAATACACCCAAACATTATTAAAACATCTTAAAAAGACCTAGAAATTGACAAATATCATTGCAAAAATTAAATCGGAAAACAACTTACGGGGAACTAAATGGTGTAAATGGGTTTGCGCATCCTTTAGTCACAATAGAAAGATTCACAGTACACAACCTATCAGATACAATCTGATCTTCTGAAGACAGTCCCTCTCAGAGCCTACCACTGGGGCCGCTACTCGTTTGTTTCGTCGCCAGATTTTTGACAAAACAAACTGTTTGGCATATCACTTCCAAATTTTGATGTTTTGGAACGATTCGAATACATCGAGAAAATCAAAAGCTTCGTCGGTTCTTTTCAAACCATTATCACATTTTTTTTGGTATTTTTCGTCGAAATCATTGACAAATTTTACAGATCGTTCGAGAATTTCAAGAGTTCGGTTGATGAATTAAAGTTTCTGCAAATAATTCGCGACGACTCCCTGTTGTGCAGGTGCATGCATTTCTTTAGTGCCTTTTTCAGCCTTCTACTGCGCTTTTGTTCTATTGTAGGCTGAAATAAACGATAGTCAAATAAAAAGTATGTGGAGAGATGGCATCATATTGTTCTATTGTAGGCTGAAATAAACGATAGTCAAATAAAAAAGTATGCGGAGAGATGGTATCATATTTTCAATAAGCAAGTTATATATGAGCTACAGTCAGCAAGCGAGAAAATGAGAGGAGACCCACCTGGTGTCATAAATAGTGTAGTTGGGATGATGGGCATCGTTAGTAGTGTGGTTCTGTAAAAATATACTGTTAAGTTAATTAACTTCGAGATGATTTCAATATGGTGTTCGATAAAAATGAAAACAATAAAATAGTTGATCATGTAGTGAGAGGGTATAATTATAACGGCCGCAGTAAAAGGTCCCTAACCTCACTGGCAATAGAGTTAGTGCTTACAGCCTGAGGTGTGCTGTATGGAGTGTAGGAGTTTGGAGTGCCTATATAGCCTCCGCCGAGGTGCAACTGTCCCATCTGAGATGCCAGGGCGTGATGATCAACCGGGGACAGTTGAGGGGGGAATGTAGTCAGGGGAACAAATTGCGGGGACATCCACTGTCCGTTTGGAATGTTGTTGTACTGAATTGGTAGAGGTACCATCTGCATTGCTGAAAAGGAGTAAAGAGGTTCAAGATTTAACATTTGTTTTATTTCCTCTATGGTGGTGCACACAAAGATCAAATTTGTAACTATGGACAACTTTTAAACCATTTTCAATTTGCCGGTAGGTAGCACTTAACAAATAAAATAGATTGGTAGAATTGATATTATTTTTATATCAAGTGAAGATGAATATTGCAAAGCTCACAAGGGTGTATAAGTAGGGGTCTAGGGCCTGGTGTAGGAATAGCGGAAGCTCCGTTCTGTTGTAACGACACATCTGAATACATTGGCTGCACGAAGCTCATTGCTGGAAGTTGTCCGTTATCTTCCATTCCCGCTCCAGCTGCTGCCCATGCAGGAGCGAAGTAAACTAGAGGCCGTTTCTTGTTTGGATTCGGAGCTTCAGCAAATTTGACTATCAAAGGCTCTCCTCCTTGGGTTACTGGTTTGCCGTTCAGGGCTTTGATTGCCTTTTCGCATAATTCTTTACTTTCCAACCTGAACACAGAGTTGCTATTGGCTGACTATGATGGACGGATATAAGATTTATTTGAATAGGTATTACTGGGAACGAAAAGCGCGCACAATTTGAACAGATGTGAATCCTAACAGAGGAGGCATATATCATTCAAAATAAAATTCTCGCTAACAACTTTAGAATAACTCATTATTGAAATTGCAACTTAATAGCGCACACAGATTTTAAGTTTTTCCTACAACTATATCTAAGATTAAAGGAACTAGTTTTTGAAGTACATGGTGTTTTCCTGGTAAACTTTCTTTTCTAACTAATTGGTGTTCAGTGACCTGGCAAATCCAACACCTTTACTGTTCCCCTCTGGGTCTTTCAATATCCTAGATGAAACTATTTCACCGAACGGCATCACCAAACTGTTGAGTTGCTGAAAAATAAGTATTGAATATACATGGATGAAAATATTGACCTACATCAGAAGATGAGATATATCTTAATATATTAAAATTAGGTGACAACAGACAAAGAAATGAAAACTTCAGGCATACTTCCTCCGTGAAGGATCGAGGTAGATTGCTGATATACAGGTTTGTCACGTCTATGTTGTCGTTGTGTTGCTTTATCTTTGAAGGGTCGTGCTGTTGTTTTCTTATCTGATCGTTGATTGACATCTGAAATAAGGTAGTTAGTCACATCCTTCAATATAGCGCAGTGAAGTTTGTTAATAGTAAAATATATGGGAATTCTGCGGAAAACTACTTTTAAAAATGTCGATTGGGAATCAATCGCTAGATCTATAAAATAGATTGTGTGTGCAATAGGTACCCCTGGTAAGCAGTAAGCAGGCGGTCCCGGCCAGCAGTTGAGAGAACAGTCGTACAACTGCCTTTCCCGCGTTCGCGCGCGCTCAAATAAACTGCACAAAATGCTCACAATGACACTGTCTGCACACATCTTATTGAGAAATTTTTCGGCGGTTTTTTGCGTTTTCATTCAAATTACATAGCGGTAACATTGACAACGGTCACTTTCGTTTTAATGACTTAAACCAAGTCAAATCATGACACTTAGGCGAAAAAAGGGCTTTTTAAAGAAATACCAATCACAAAAGAGTAATCAAGTTACTCCACCGAGTGGAGGATGTCAAAGGAACATGCAAGAGAAAGCACGAAATTTCAGCACAGCCAAGTGAAGAAGATAAAGATGACATACCTTGCTACTAACCTTAGCAAACGATGCTTGCGTTCCTTGCAATGTAAGATGTTGGCAAGCTTTCTGTGCCGCCTCAGGGCTTTCAAAGTCAACAAACCCATATCCTGAGGAAGTGTCTGGTAAAAACACTGGTATTTTATGAAGATAAGGCAGTATAAGAGATATATATAGCAGTATATAAGATAGAAACATAATGATTACACGTGTTAGATGTAATAAGGGGAATGTTCAGAAGGTTTAACGCGTTTCTTTGTCTACACGCAGTTTTAAACAGGCCTTATCTTCTCGCACTTTAGCTTGACAAATATTAGAAGTAAATGTTGAACGTGTCAAAGTAAAACACACCCTTGCATTTGTTGCTCTGCTTGTCAGTGATGGCCTTTGTCGAGGTGATCTTTCCAAACCTGAAATCAAGATGTCAGAAAGAATTTCATAACAGTTTTACAAACTTATTTTTAGCTCTGAAAACGAAAACAGAAGCAGGAAATATTAGAATACTAACCTTTTACACATGTTAGCCAGCTCATCATCAGTGGTATGGTGGGGCAGTCCGCGTATATAAAGGTTAGTACGGCTCAGCTGCTCGGACTGGTTGTTATCATTCCTGTAACCTCCTCCGTTCTGTAATTAATTAAACTCATTAGTTAATTAATTAAACTAGTTGCAATAAGTGTGTTATAACTAATTAAACTAGTTGCAATAAGTGTGTTATAATTCTGCATCCAAAACTCCTTGTGGAACAGGTTGGTTTAATATTTACTTTAGAATGGTCACTAGGCTAAACAATAGAACATACGAGTACACTCAAAACCTTTAGAAGCTCCTTAACACGCCGCCACATGAACATTCTGCTAGCTGCGCTATGTATACTACTATATTGTATACTACAATATATACTACTATAACAACTGCTTATCTAAGTAGGGTACCGTTTAGAGGGACATCATTACACTCTGGCAACCAGCCAAAACCAGCCTATACAATAGAGTGCAGGGTGTGTTGTTGCTTCTCATTTAGAAATATGTTCTAATGTTGTGGATGACTTAGGTCGCTAATTGCTATGACTTAATGCGTAATATTATATAGTATTAGCTACATTTGGAGGGTGTGATCTAACGTTATGTCTAGGAGTATTATAGCATCTCATAGTACTCTAGTAGCAGGGTATAGTACTCATACGTTACACGTAAGATGCGACACAGTTAGAGTTATGATCGAATTAAGACAAGATCTCAGTATGAAAGTGCGTCAATCAGCGATTTAATACTAACTACAATCACATGGATGGGGGGCTGATTATTTATAAGGGGTTGGGGGATCATCGCCATATTAGAATTTTTCGGTTAAATGTTGAAACAGAAGGATACAATTTATGCGCTTTTTTCTCACATTGAAAGATTGATTCACTTAACTTAAGTACTACACACTGGTAGGTACACACTGGTAAGTACACACTGGTAAGTACACACTGGTAAGTACACACGGGTAAGTACACACGGGTAAGTACACACGGGTAAGTACACACTGGTAAGGACATACTGGTAAGTACACACTGGTAAGTACACACTGGTAAGTACACACTGGTAAGTACACACTGGTAAGTACACACTGGTAAGTACACACTGGTAAGTACACACGGGTAAGTACACACTGGTAAGTACACACTGGTAAGTACACACTGGTAAGGACACACTGGTAAGGACACACTGGTAAGTACACACAGGTAAGTACACACGGGTAAGTACACACTGGTAAGTACACACTGGTAAGTACACACTGGTAAGTACACACTGGTAAGTACACACTGGTAAGGACACACTGCTAAGTACACACTGGTAAGTACACACTGGTGAGTACACACTGGTAAGTACACACTGGTAAGTACACACTGGTAAGTACACACTGGTAAGTACACACTGGTAAGTACACACTGGTAAGTACACACTGGTAAGTACACACTGGTGAGTACACACTGGTAAGTACACACTGGTAAGTACACACTGGTAAGTACACACTGGTAAGTACACACTGGTAAGTACACACTGCTAAGTACACACTGGTAAGTACACACTGGTGAGTACACACTGGTAAGTACACACTGGTAAGTACACACTGGTAAGTACACACTGGTAAGTACACACTGGTAAGTACACACTGGTGAGTGACCTTAAGGGTAATTAGGTACATACTAATTAAGGTAACTGGCAGGAACCCGTATAACCCTAAAATGGTGTCAAGACTCAAGAGACTAAAATAATTATTACCTATTTAATTCGCGTTTTTTACACCACTTGGGGGTCCAAATTTTGGGCTCTAAAACTCCTATTTCTTGGCCTATTTTTTATTTTTTCGTGCTGATTTGGAGGCTATTAAAGCATTTGGCCCAGTCAAAAAAGTTTCAGTTGTATATCTAAAGTCGCGTTAAAGTTGATGCCGTGGTATCAGTAAAATGGTACGGATCCATAATCCATATATATCATCTCGCTTTATATATAGTAAGAAGATTAGGCATTTACTTTCCGTATTTTGACAGATAAAATTTAGAGATCGAGGGGGTTAATTACAGTTTGTTAGTAGTAGTAGTAGTAGTTGTAAGTTATTGTTAGTAGTTGGCTCAGATCCAGTTTTTATCAACAAATATATCACCACTTACAAGATGTTGTTTGTAGGTAAATTTATGAACAAGAGAAAAACCATGCATCTCTGTACAGTGTACATCTGTGTAACTTCACGCTAAGTGAGCCTACAAAGTACAATACGGTGTATCTGTTAACAAGGTTTGTACAAAATTCTGCAGTTAAAAGATTTCCTAACTATGCAAGCGTGCTGCACTTTCCAACTTGTTCTGCATGTAGGAGGAGTTTATACTCACATTATAATTATTGTTCTGCATGTAGGGGGAGTTTATACTCACATTATAATTATTGTTCTGCATGTAGGAGGAGTTTATACTCACATTATAATTATTGTTCTGCATGTAGGAGGAGTTTATACTCACATTATAATTATTGTTCTGCATGTAGGAGGAGTTTATACTCACATTATAATTATTGTTCTGCATGTAGGAGGAGTTTATACTCACATTATAATTATTGTTCTGCATGTAGGAGGAGTTTATACTCACATTATAATTATTGTTCTGCATGTAGGAGGAGTTTATACTCACATTATAATTATTGTTCTGCATGTAGGAGGAGTTTATACTCACATTATAATTATTGTTCTGCATGTAGGAGGAGTTTATACTCACATTATAATTATTGTTCTGCATGTAGGAGGAGTTTATACTCACATTATAATTATTGTTCTGCATGTAGGAGGAGTTTATACTCACATTATAATTATTGTTCTGCATGTAGGAGGAGTTTATACTCACATTATAATTATTGTTCTGCATGTAGGAGGAGTTTATACTCACATTATAATTATTGTTCTGCATGTAGGAGGAGTTTATACTCACATTATAATTATTGTTCTGCATGTAGGAGGAGTTTATACTCACATTATAATTATTGTTCTGCATGTAGGAGGAGTTTATACTCACATTATAATTATTGTTCTGCATGTAGGAGGAGTTTATACTCACATTATAATTATTGTTCTGCATGTAGGAGGAGTTTATACTCACATTATAATTATTGTTCTGCATGTAGGAGGAGTTTATACTCACATTATAATTATTGTTCTGCATGTAGGAGGAGTTTATACTCACATTATAATTATTGTTCTGCATGTAGGAGGAGTTTATACTCACATTATAATTATTGTTCTGCATGTAGGAGGAGTTTATACTCACATTATAATTATTGTTCTGCATGTAGGAGGAGTTTATACTCACATTATAATTATTGTTCTGCATGTAGGAGGAGTTTATACTCACATTATAATTATTGTTCTGCATGTAGGAGGAGTTTATACTCACATTATAATTATTGTTCTGCATGTAGGAGGAGTTTATACTCACATTATAATTATTGTTCTGCATGTAGGAGGAGTTTATACTCACATTATAATTATTGTTCTGCATGTAGGAGGAGTTTATACTCACATTATAATTATTGTTCTGCATGTAGGGGGAGTGGTAAGACATTTTCTGCTGACCGGACCAGTAGTTACCTCGGTTACTCTGCCACTGCTGCTGGGCTGGACTGGGCGATCTTTTGTAGGGCATCTGAGGAGAACAGGCTGGATATTAAAACATAATATTACTATTTATACATATATACTGTGCACAGTGCGTGGAACAAGAGATACATTATAGCGTGAAGTGTGTAAGCAATACAAATAAAACGAAAGCAAGGTACAGGAAAGTGTTACCTTTATATATAATACGAAAGGTAACATTTTTCTGTATATTATATACACTAGCAGGAAGACTCAAAAGACTAAAATAATTATTACCTATTTAATTCGCGTTTTTGACACCACTTGGGGGTCCAAATTTTGGGCACTAAAATTCTTATTCCTTGGTAAATTTTTTATTCTTTTATACTGACTTGAAGGCCATTAAAGCATTTGACCCAGTCAAAAAAGTTTCAGTTGTATATCTTCTACGGTTTTTGAGGAAAGTCCCGTTAAAGTTGATGCCGTGGTGTCAGTAAAATGGCACGGAACCATATATATCGTCTCGCTTTATATATAGTTAGATATATTATATATACTAGCAGGAACCCGTGAAATATAACCCTAAACGGTGTCAAGACTCAAGATACTGAAATAATTATTACCTATTTAATTGGCGTTTTTGACACCACTTGGGGGTCCAAATTTTCGGCTCTAAAATCATTATTCCTCGGCCAATTTTTTATTTTTTCATGCTGATTTGGAGGATATTAAAGCATTTGACCCAGCCAAAAAAGTTTCAGTTGTATATCTTTTACGATTTTTGCAGAAAGTTGCGTTAAAGTCGATGCCGTGGTGTCAGTAAAATGGCACAGATATATATATATATATATCGTCTCGCTTTATATATAGTAAGATTGCTCAACTTTTGAAATAAAGTATGACGCCAGCTTAACTGCCCTGTGGTATATCTATAATAGTGAATATTATGTAGTAGTATTGTTCAGTGTTGACAGTGGTAAGCCTCAATGGCTCAAGCGAATATAATTTAAATCTCGGTATAACTGCAGTGCAGCCGAAAAGCACTAAGCAGTTGCAATGTGACTACTGTAGTAGTACCAACAATCCCACAACACTGTAAACCCCACCTGTTGTGCCTGTTTGATGGGATTAGAGAATATTGCTGTGTTCCTCTGTTGGGACTGTCTGGAGTTGTTATCGTTGGAGACTGCATTGTTACTAGAGTTGTTATTGTTGATAGAGCCGTTTGTCAGTCCTGTGTTGTTGCTGTAGTGGTTCTGTCTCAGTAATACCTGGGACAGGGAATATTAGTAGTGTACCGTTTAATGTCATTATTAATAAGGATGTCATAATTGAGTTAAAAAACGTCTCAGGTGAATCGAAATATACAACTTGATTGAAATAAATTTTCGTGCACATACAGAATGAATGGTTAATAATTTAATATATATGTAGACCAAGGTCTGTGCACGGGATGCTTCCTGGAAGAATCCAGTTCTTTTAGCGGGGCACCCTACCTAAAGCCAAATTGAGATATAATAATCATATTCCTAAGAAATAATAAGAAATCGAATACCAATCAAATAATATGATATATAGGAGTAGTAACCATATTTACTATGCAAAATGCCCCAACCACATAGTGTAAATTTATATAGAAGTCAAATTCCATATCATCATTAAACCTCAATAGTCAATATAATAACTCAAGCAAAATTAAATAACTTCTTATATGCCTTACTGTCATACTACAAATTGATTAAACATTTGAAATCTGTTAACCAGAGAATAAATTTCTAAACCTAATGCAAGTGAAATAATTTAGATGCAATAATGAATGCCTAATGTGAGTATCATCTGTCAATGTCCTTGTAAAACAGTCTGTACAAGAGATATGAGTAACTAATATAGAAGAAAAAACAGGAAGTTGTCGTCTGTTGAAAAATAAATAAAATATCTAGAATATAAATTAGAATATAAAATAACATTCAGTCAATGTGTCGTCAATAAACTGTACAATTATCAAATGTTAAAACTGGGTGATACAGTCACCAAAAATAAATACTAAGTAATAATAATAATAAATTGAAATTTAATAACACCGCTTTTAAGATAAATCTTATACTCAGCAGTGTTTGAACTAGTCATCCCAGAAAATATCATGAATACTGAGCTAAAAAATAACATATGCTTGAAAATATATCGTCAATACTAAAGCCCGAAAATGGTACTTAAATATATTATGCAAATATCGAAATCCAAATATGACCACAATAGTTATCGATAAAGTTTTTCAAGTTCATCTGGAGACATTTTGAAAAGGTAAGTTTTTAGAAAAGCTTTAAAACATTCCAGAGATTGAGCAGAGGTGATGGTAACAGGCAGACGATTGTAGATCTTTGGAGCCACTACAGAGAAGCTACGCTCACCAAACTTTGAATTACAAGAAGGAACAATAAGCTTCAATGAGTGACCATGATGAGCATACTTGAACATGTCCTGCAGATAAATTGGTGCCAATCCTAACAGTGACTTGTGAGATAGTAATAAGATTTTGAAGACAATCCTTTTCTTTACATCTAACCAGTGAAGCTTTATCAGGTCATCATCAAGATGGTCATGTTTATATTTACCAGTGACAGCTTTTGCAGCAGCATTCTGAAGTAACTGGAGCTGATGTAGCAGCTTCTCGCCGATACCAAAGTACAGACCGTTACAGTAATCTAGACATGACACTACTAGACTGTTAACGATGATCTTAATCTGTTTGGGACTCAGTAGAAATCTGATTTTTCTGATATTACGTAACGTATGAAAACATTTCTTCTTGAGACTTACGATCTGTTTATCAAATACCAGCTGATTGTCCATTACTAATCCAAGGTTCTTAACAGTAGGCACAAACATTACCAAAGTGTTAGGAGCTATATCAACGCCATGAAGTTCTATCTCACTGAGCACTTTACTAGGTCCAAAGACTATGAGTTGTGTTTTAGAATCATTCAGTTGCAGGTAGTACTGTGACATCCAATTCTTTATCGTCAAGAAGCAGTTTCTCAGCTGATTGGTTAAGGTTTTGACCTGATCAGAGGGTTTGAAAGATTTCATGATTTGATGATCATCTGCATAACCAATAATGGAGAAACCAGATTCTTTAACACATCTGTACAACGATCTGATATAGATGTTAAAGAGTACCGGGCCTAAAACAGAGCCCTGAGGTACTCCAAATCGGATAGTTATTGTTTCAGAGACAGATTTGCCGAGTCTAGTCCGCTGACAACGTCCTTTAAGGAAGCTGGTGAACCAGCTAAGAGCAGTTCCTCTGATTCCTATTTCTTGCTTCAAGATACGGAGTAACAAAGTATGGTCCACAGTATCAAAGGCAGCACTCAGGTCCAAGAGCATCACCACAGTAGCAGTTTTTTCATCTGCTGCTATTAAGACATCGTTCACTATTTTAATCAAGAGTGTTTCAGTGCTATGGTGTTTTTTGTAAGCAAACTGTTCCTGACAATTAAGGTTATTCCGACTAAGGTGCTCGTTGAGTCTTCTTAAAACTACTCTTTCAATTAGTTTTCCCAGGAATGTAAGGTTTGAGACTGGCCTGTAGTTTTTCAATATATTCGGATCCTGAGAATCATCTTTTATTAGCGGAATTACATCAGCTAGTTTCACACCATCCATACTTCCTGATGACAGCGATTGGTTAACTAGATCAACCCATACATGCAACAGAGAAGTGATATTATCTTTGACAAGATCTTGTGGTAAGACATCATTAGGTGAACAGTTAATTCCACTTTCTTTGATTATATCTTCAAGTTCAGAGATACAGGTTGGCTCAAATTCAAAGAGAGGTGTTGCATTAGTGTCAGAACAATCGGGTATTGGGGAGGCTGGTATGTTATCTCGAATCTTTTCAACCTTTTCTGAGAAGAAATTGTTGAAGTCAGAGGCGAGCACTTCAATATCTTCAGTGTAGTCAGGTAGAATTCTGCTTTGTATAAGTATGATAAGTTAATAAATTAAATGTGGTCTATAAAACTACCACTAGGTATAATAGGTCAATAAATTAAAAGTGGTTTATAAAACTACCACTTAGTTTAACTCACTTTCTTCTCTCAGGTGAATCTAAATATAAAACTTAGTTTAACTCACTTTCTTCTCTTCACCAACTGTAGTTAGTTTATCAGGGGACGGCTCGGAGTGAGCATAGCCATTCGTCTCGGTTGCTGTGTCGACAACCTCTGCCTCTACCATGGCCTACTGAACAGTTAACTGTGGTTAACTGGACCATTATAGAAAATAAAACACAATTAGTAACTACCTGGTGCTAACTTCTCCTGCTCTTCTCCCCCTGCTCACCTTGGGTCAGTGGGGCACGTGAAGGCAAGAGGACGAGACTTTAGGTTTATGTGGAAATATTAAATATGCCTTCAGTTCACTTCAGTAACCGGTAAGTGTCAAAATTATAGTGTGTCGACATATTACAAAATTGTCATTGTAGACTAAAGGAACATTTACATTTCCATAAGTATCAACAACTGCAATATTAATTTACGGATGAAATAAACTTTAAATCGTCCAAACTATGACATCATTCCATTAAAATTCAATCTCATGACCATGGTAAAATTTAGACTGCGGGTCAGTGCACATCTACTCGAAATTGAACTTGGCCGATATAATCAAACTCCTCGAGATGAGCGAATATGCTCCTGGTGCAATATAGTATTACGTTCTGGTATTATTGAGAATGAAGATCACTTCCTTAACCATTGTGATCTTAACGCTACATCGAGGCGAAAAGTCCTAGACAAGATCCAGTCAATCATATCAAATTCAATCAAACCATCTGCAACATCTTATTCTGTTTACACTGTCATCCCTGGAGCAACAGTGAAATCATTGAATTAATCACGAACGAAAGTCAAGTCCACCTCACGAGAGTTGTTGCTAGATTTGCCACTACGTGTTTTAACAACCGCAAGAAGTTCGTCGACTCTCTGACCAGTACATGAACACTGAAAATCACTGTACCAGCGCTTTTGTTTCTTTTCGCGCAACAACGAGTGCAAAGTGGCCTGGCTCAAGCATTACAGCATTATCAAGGCGACTGTAAGGGCACTTTCAAAAACTATGTTAACGAATCTGTCACGGGAAAAATTTCAACTTCTAGAAGCTCTCATTTGGTGGATAAACTCAATATTTTGATTAAACTTTTTTTCAGCATAGGATTTGCGATAGTTCAACCTTTACAAAAAGAATAAAATGTCTACTATGTCTATGAACAGAGATACACGCATTTAAATCAGGGCTAATAATGGTGGATATACTTTTCAGAGGGGTTTGGTGGATATATCATTTGTTGGCCTGTAACTTTACGTGTGGTTAATTTATGGTGATTATTTAAAGATAGAATTGTAGCAAATCGATATGCCTCTATGATAAAAGGCGAAAATAAAGAAAGATTTCAATTTTAAGGCTAGATATGGTGGATAATAAAACGATGAAATAAAATTCAATACCGAAAATTTTCAACTGAAAAAATTATATTGGTCAACAAGTTCACCAGCTTTACTCAGTGAACGGATCAGGTCGGAAATCGTTTCAAGTTTATAATTATGATAGCATAGAAGATTTAATTTTTAGGCCATTTTTGGTGGATATATTGGAGCTTCAAGATTGATTTAATTTTAAGTCAATTTCTGAGTCAATAATGCAGGTTATCCATTGTTAGACCCCAATTATCTCGTCTTGAAGCTGAAAATGTATACAATTATTGCTCTAGGGCCATAATGAATGGATATAGTTTCATACGAACTTAACAAACTGTTTCCTTTCAGCCTTTAGAGCTGTTTTTGGTGGATAAAAGTACTAAAACGGGAAAATTTGCTTTTGTATCCACTATTTTTGGCCCTAGATGTGTTCTATCATGAAACTACAACTGTTTCTAGATAGAAAATTCCCTTTGCTGAGTCAGTTCAAAAGAATTTTCAGTCCAAGACGACTTTTAAGGTTAAAATTGGTGGATATTAAATGTGAATAACCTACCTCAGTGATTGAAATAACGATTTCTTGACTGATAACGTATGTGATCCACTTTCAACGCCCAATAATTATATCTTAAGGTCGAAAGAGCTGAAAATCATTGCTCTGAGGTCGAAAAGAAGGGCTATAGTTTCAAGTAAACGTTCCAAACATTCTCCATTTAGGGCCGTTTTTGGTGGATAAATGCCTAAGAAATTAGCTTAAAAACGGTTAAATTTGCTTTTTTATCCACTATTTCTGGCCTTAGATTTGCTCTATTATGAAATCATACACTGATATTGGTTTGTTTAGACCTTTTTCTTGTTCAGCACAAAATGTGATAAGCTCAAGCCGACTTTTAAGGCCAAAATTGATGGATATCAAAATATCCAGGTCGAAATTTTAAGTATTTTTGAGTTAATTATCCACCAAATTGGCCCTGAATGCTTAAAATGCCATAGTACCTTATGCATAAATGTTCAACATCTTATATTTCATCTTTTTCAACTGTTTCTAATCATGATGATGTCTTATTTATTGATATTTTGGTAACATTTACGTGTTTAAATAATTAATATTGACTTATATCCACCAAAAATAGCCTTTTAACTTGAATCTTGTACTTCATAGTTGATGCCATAGATTTAACATTGCCTTTGCATCATTTTAAGACCAGTAAATTGATGTTAGCTAACAAATAACAGTCTTAAAAAAGAGGTAAAAAAATATATCCACCAAATTTGGCCCTTAAGAAAAATCCCGGCCCTACTTATGAAATTATGAAGTTATAACGATTATTGTTAAGTCTCAATCATATTTTAGGAGTTTAGATGGAATTAAATATTTTTAAAGGCCACCTGAAGTGGATTGGTCTGTTTCACTTTTATCCACCAGATTTAGCCCTAAATCGAAACAAAAAGTGGCAGATAGTAAAGGTTAGGGTATAGCACACCATATCCTGGAGTTTCATCCCGTTCCAAAAATTATCCACCAAATTATGCCACAAAAACTGATTTTTGGCAAATTTTAACATTTTTTCCGTGACAGATGTTTTTGAAAGTGCCCGTAAACAAAATATTTTCTTATCAAAATCTTTATTTTTCACTTTAGTTTAAGTTATATTAATATAATAAATTCAAATCTTATGATATTGTTATTATCTTAACAGTTACTATTGTAGCTTAAGATTTTAAATTTGTATTCCTTGTATTCCTTGTATTCCTTGTAGATCAAGCTGTATTAATAAATTGCTGCAAATAATAACTTAAACCTATTAAAAACTTAAACCTATTAATAACTTAAACCTATTAATAACTTAAACCTATTAATAACTTAAACCTATTAATAACTTAAGCCTATTAATAACTTAAACCTATTAATAACTTAAACCTATCAAAAACCAATTCATTTATAAAATAAAAGCAGAATTATAAATTACCTCCACGTCCAGGCTACATCATACAACTTACTAATATTCTGCAGCATCTGTTTGTCTGAAATGAGGAGCAGAAGGAACTTAGAAATTCAACTAAATATACATTTTGATTTCATTTTTTTACAGCACGCCAATAAGCTCATTACAAGAGTAAAAATTGATATTCTCGATTTCAAATTAAATTCATGAATATTAAGTTTAGTAAGGCTTAAAGGCTACCTTGTCAAAGGCTAGTTTTGTATAATCCACAGCTACGAACAAGGCTCCACAACCAGGAAAAGCCCTCATTAAACAAGGAGTTATTCCTCTGAAAAATCCCTTATAACCAAATTCGCTGTAAATGTTCTTCATTGCATTTAAAGAAGAAAGAGACCCCACCTGAACCTGAGACTTGACAACATCTATTGGGTAAGCAAATCCCCAACACATTGTTCCACCAACACCGCCTGACACAGCAGTTTTCCATAAAGAAATTTCATCAGGATCTTTCATTAGAACTTTTTTTGCTGCTTCATAGCCACCAAAGAAATAAAAATAGCCCCACGTTTCTCTCAATAATGTTGGCGTCCACCCTCTCATAAGTTTAAGAGGTCCCTCTTTAGTAGCAATGTGCATGAACATGGCAAATGGTTTGGTGGGTACACCTTTTGCAGCTTTTCCAGTGATATACTGAGTCTGTAGTCTGCATTTAACCAGTTCAGTGGGTGTAAGGACAAATGAAGCGCATGCTCCAGAGCCAGCACCACAGAAAGCTTGACTCAACAAGGATAACTCTTGATGGCTTTTACTGCCAGTCATATATTGAGCTATAGAACTGATCCTTCCATAAGCCAAGAATGCTGTCGCACTTTCACCAACATTGGCAAGAACAGCAGGAATGGATCCAGCATACAGACCTCTGATGCCCTCTTGCTTGAAAGTTTTCGATAATGTTACTATTACAGAACGATATTCATTAGGAAATGTCTGCATTTTAACTTTAGTCGTATCAAGGGGTTGAGTAGAATAAACAGCTGTAATGCCTCCAATCACCCCAGCCATAAAGTCTCGAAAACTTTCTGCAATCCATCTATACTTTTCGTCTAGCATACCCTACATGAAACATTGTCTAGTAGTGGAATTTACATATGCTAACATCAAAGTGTAATAGAATGTGGGGTCAAAATTCTCCCCTTGCACTCATTTAAGAATTTCAAGGTACTATAACATTCAAAATTATCAGTAAAGATACAGGAAATTTTACAGACTGAAAGAAATGGAGCTTTTCTAGTTTTTGCTTTGGTTGAAATCCTAATCTGGTTTGAAAGCTACCTTGGAGGCAGAAAACAGTGCACCAAAATAAGGGGTAATGTAAATTCACTGCTTCCTGTAAATATATTGGACCTCCTGTTGGCGCATGGTTATTAACTGCAACAAAAATAAGACTGAAATTATATGCTTTAACTGCTATGATCATGCTGGAGTCCCGACTTCATTCAACCTTGGAGGGAAAACAATTCAGTTAACGGATCAGACAAGGGTTCTTGGTGTCATTTTGGACAGTAAGTTAACCTTCAAACAGCATAGTAAGTATGTATACAACAATCTAGTATACCGCTGGGTTCGTAAGAGCCGTTATGCAAACAGAAACTGGGGCATGAACCAAGCAGTTATAGTGAGAGTGACCAAAACAATTCTGTTCTCGACCTTGTTTTATGGTTCTACCATATGGACGAACAATTCAAATATGTCAGACATAAACAAACTATGGTACAGAGTGTCTAAAGCTGCAGTTGGAGCTGTTTTCAACGTCCATGGGGC